AAAAAAAAATTATTTCTAGTTAACTCTGAAAAAAATCTGACAATTTCTCAAAGAGGTTTTTGCAATACATTACAAGAGTTCAAAGTTATAGGTGACTTTGAGCCTCTAGTTAACCCGTTAAAGACAACTGTGTAAAAAGTCTGAATCTAAAATTCTGTAGGAGTTGAGCCATCTCTTGGCACATCCCCATTCATTGTAGAAGACGTCCAATGCAGGAGGTAAAAAAGTCTGAATCTAAAATTCTGTAGGAGTTGAGCCATCTCTTGGCACATCCCCGTTCATTGCAGAAGACGTCCAATGCAGGAGGTAACAGGGGAGGAAGGGGGGAGTAGAGTGAGGAAGCAGGAACCCCAAGCAGAATTCATCAAGGAACTGGCTGAGTAGGGCTGATATGAGAGGAGAGATCTGATCTACACTAGAATGAAAGGTCACTTCCTAGAGGTATTACCATCCAGGCTTCTTGTGACTATTTCAGTTGCTGCATTAATTTCACTCCAGTTCCTAACCCTAGCTTATACGCTTCCCAGACACTGTATACCTTTAATTTAAGGACTATACTCGTAGTAAGCAATCTGTGGCAATGGAAAGGACATACTGGCAAATCAAAAATCTGCACTCTAATATCCACCTACAAACTATCAATGTATAATGAGTCATGTATGCTTCCGGGACCACACCTCGCTTAACTGTAAGTGAAGAGGTAACGTGATTTGTTCTCTAGTCACCCATGACCATCGACATCCCTGTTTCTGTCATTTACTAGCATATGGCCAATCTCTCTGTAGCTCAGTTTATTCATCTGTAAAGTTCAAGTTACATCTACACAATGGAATCAGTGCGAGCATTAACTGAGAGCTCAGAACAGTAGCTGGCAGCCTATAAGCCCTAATAAGTGCTAGCAACTACCGTCAATCTCAGCACAAGGCTTCTGACTCAAAAAAAAATAACCATTATAATCACGGCTGACCATGTCAAGAATGTTCAGTTCCGAAGTGACATTAAAGTGACAATCCTGACTCTTATAAATCTTCTATATTTTTTTTATTGTTAATAGTTGTTTGGTTCTCTCTAAAAATTTGGTGGAGCAGTACTCACCAACCTCACTGCACACTGTGCCCTAAGTTCTGACTTCCCTTCCAAAGAAAGGCGTTACCAAATTGCTAAATTCTGCAATTTTATCAAATTTATGAGCATACCTACCTTTCCAAAGTATGGAGGAAATTTGTGCTGATCTTCAATGACATGGGCAAACCCTCCTTGGAGGCCAAAATCCACAGAGAAATAAGGTAAGCCTTTGGGAACCTAAGTCAACAGACAAATCACGTATAAAAGACAGCATGAAATCAGAAAATTATTCTTAACCCCTATTTCTGCTCCCGGGCAAAATAGTAATTAAGCATCTCTCAAGATAAACATATAAAATGAATTTCCAGTTCTAGAGATACTTAAGCAATGACCTAACATTCTGAGTAAAAGATTTCATTTTGATGGCCTTTCAACCAGGTACTTGTTCATCATATCTAGTAATTACAGTCAAAACCAATTATTTTTTGTCCTTGGGGAAAACCAGGGGAAAAGGTGCTTATTCTTTGTAATACAACTACAGACTTATTTCCTTAGGCCACGTGAATAGAGAATAAGATTACACATTCTTATATTTTACTCACAATGCAGAACAGGAAGCAGGGCTCGGCCACATACATACTCAGAGCTTTGTTTACAATATCCCTGAATCTTCACTGCTATATATTTATCAAAGATAAATTATACAAGAAAAACCATAATATTTTATTAGCTGGTGAGAGGGTATAGCAATGTTTAGTTTACCAAACTTACCTTGAAATATCTCTCGGATTAACTATTACATTTTACCCTTCCCATGCTTCCTCCTTCCCCCCTCCCCACAGTATTTTAAACTATATTTTAACTGGAAAAGGCCATAATTTCTTGTTTTCCCTATCAATTAAGTAGATCTCATCTCCTTCTTAGACTTTTTATGAAGCCATGACTTTGTCACTAGAAATTATCTAAGTGGGTCACTTTATAGTAACATTTCACTAATCCCCTCATACAATCAGTATTTACTAATTTGCGCACTGAACCACATATTACTTCTTAACTATATAAATTTTGTATTGTCCTCAAGGAGGCATGGCTTAGAAGGGCACAGTGTGGTAAGAGTGATCATCTTAAAATATTATAAAGCAATTAAAATGAGGACTTACACTGAGTTGTTCATGTTACAGAAAAAGCAAAAATAAAAATCAGCTTACAACTATTATATAATATTAAAAGCAGAAAAACAGGTTTCTATTTTATGGCTTACTTTTTCTATATTCCCACACATTTAAATAGAATTATCCTGCTGTGACCTTGACAGGGAAAATAAAAGTAAAAGGAACACAGATAAGGTTTTAAATTGCAGCTGATTCTTATGAATGTGTGACACACATTTACCTAACATTTCTGAGTTTCTAGAGAAATACAAAGAGTTCAGAGGTTTGCTGTAAGGATCAAATAGGACAATGTAAATAACGTGTCCAGCCCAACTCTTGGCACAGAGAAGATTATCTGAATATAGATGATTATTACTTTCATTACTATCTCCCATACAAGAATGCTTTGTGCAGACCCAGCAGTCAAAGAAAAAAGGACTGAAGGCTCCATCTGAATATTTTTGCAGACTGAACTAGATTATCAGGTATGGAGCACGACTCTGAGTGGCTACAAGAACCTTATCGAAGACTGTCAAGTAGAGGACAGTATTTGAAAGAGAGGAATAACTTGAAGAAGAAACACAGGACAACATGCCTTTTGTTCATATAACACTATGGCAGGCAGAATAACAGTTTACTAAACATGTCAATACCCAAGTCACCATTTTGCCATGAATATGTTACTTTATGTGGCAAAAGGAACTGTGCAGATGTGATTAAGTTAAGGATCCTGAAAGAATATCCTGGGTTATCAATGTAGGCCCAATGTAATCATAAGGATACTTATAAGAGAGAGACAGGAAGGCCACATAGAGTCTGAGAAAGATAAGAAGATACTATACTCTTAGATTTGAAGGTGAAGGAAGGGGCCATAGCCATGGAGGGTAGGTGGCTTCTAACAGCTGGAAAAAGCAAAGAAACAGACTCTTCCCTCTTCAACAACATGAAAAGAGCCTCTAAAATAATACAGGCCTAGTAACACCTTAATTTAGATGAGAGAAATCCATTTTATACATGTGATCCACAGAACTGTAAGACAATAAATCGATCTGTGGTGTTTTAGGTCACTAAGTCTGTGGTAACTTATATACATACTAAGGCTCAAAAACCTCTGGCTTATCTGCCAGGATGGCACAATGAACCCACAACTACCTTCAACAAATAAAAGCTGCTGTCACAAGCTTCTCGGTGCTCTCCCTGAAGGATGCACAGGGTACCGCCTACGTTCTTGCCAGAACCGTTAGTGAGAGGCACTGCAAAGGCCCTAGTATCAAAGTGTAGACACATACGTCTAGCACTTTGTTCTTCCTGCGATGGCCAGCCAGAGGGAAAGGAGTTGGACTCTGATAACACTCTCTAAAGGTACTGACAGAATTACAGTAATAGTTTTTATTTACAGTAAAAAAACAAAAAACAATAGTATTAAATTTCTCACTTTTATTCCAGATGTTACACCTGACTTCCTATAAAATTGAATCTGAAGGTCTCCGAAATTTTCTTGAAAAGTATTTGTATTAGTTTTAGAAATAAGTCCTTAAATATTGGATGGTTTGTTCAACTACTATAGTCAACCACAAAATTAAACATAAAGTAACATTTTTAAAGGTTCATGGAAGGGGTCAAGATGGCAGACTAGAAGCCTGCACACATTGCTCTTACAGAGAGGACGGCAGATGGCAAGAGGACATTCTCCTTCAGATCCACAGTCTAAGAGAGAGCATTGTGAATCAAAAGAGCAGCGACAGGAGGGACCCAAAGTGAAGCAGAAAAAACACAGATAATCTGCTCTACAGGGAAGATGAGCATACGTGTGGGGAGGCCCATGGGGAGAATCCTGGGGCTACCCACCCCCAGTCACTGCCACAGGAGCTGGGGAGGGAACCACCATGCAGAAGGCCACAGCACTCACACAGGGCGCTATCTGGAGACTGTAGTGGCACTGCTCTGGGGAGAGAGCACAGTGGTGACTGACACACCAGCTTGAGAACCCTGGGCGATGCAGCTGGCACCATTTTAAAAGCCTAGATCCAGAATGTTACCTCTACACACAGGTCAGATCCATTGCTGCTGCCTCTCCCATTGACCCTGCCAGTCCGTGGTAGGGGAAGGGAATGGGGAGGCTGAGAAATCTCAGGAGTCCCATGAGCAGGAGAGTCATGCACCCTTACTGCCAACGGGCAATCCAGGGGGGACAATCATTACTGCCAATTGCTGATGTGGGTTGGGTTTCACTCAAACCAGCCCGGCCAACAAACACTGCCACCCCAAGACATGAACAGGGCAGCTCCCAAGCCACTGCAAACAGACAGCTACCAGGGTGGGTGGGGCTGTGCTCAAGATGGTGAAGGCCAACAAATGCTGCTGCCTGTGGATCTCTAAAGCCATCCTGGCTGATGATCACTATTGCTGACAGAACTAGGTGGGACACTCACCCACTCTGCAGTGTGGGGCCCCCAGTGACCACTACAGGGGAACAGTGAGGCAGGGGAGGCAGGGCAGCAGCAGTGTAAAATGCTCACAATGCATCCACCCATCTCAGGCCGGCAAATTCTCCAGGGTAAGACACATGTGAGCCATCCAGGGGCCTCTCCTTCCCAGCAGAGAAGGACAGATACATTGCAAGCATGTCTGTCTGGACCTGAGAAATTTCAGATGAGAAAGAACAAGAATAAGAACTATGGCAACATGAAAAACACAAATTGTTTCAATACCCGCAAAGAATCACAGTAGTTCTCCAGCCATGAATCCCAACCTAAAGGAAATTACTACATTGTTGGAGATGGAATTCAGAATACAGATGACAAATAAGATGGACGGGATTGGGGCAGCACCTGTGGCTCAAGGAGTAGGGCACTGGCCCCATATGCTGGAGGTGGTGGGTTCAAACCCAGCCCCAGCCAAAAACCGCGCGCAAAAAAAAAAAAAATGGACGGAATTGAAAAGAAGATTGAAAACCAACACAAAAAACACAAAAAAATGTTTCAGAACATGAAAAAAAAAAGAAGCTCACTAGAGACAGACAACGTAACAAAAGACATCACAGAATTTAAGAAATGAAAGAGTCATTTAGGGAATTTCAAAATACAGCACAAAGCTTAAACAACAATTTAGACCAAGAAAGAACTTCCAAAATTGAAGACAAAGCTTTTGGACTAACCTAGTCAGTCAAAGATGCAGAAAAAAGAATAAAGAAGAATGATTGATCACTTAGAAAAGTATAGGACTGGCTTTGTGCCCATAGCTCAGTGGTTGGGGCACCGACCACATACACTGGGGCAGGTGGGTTTGAACCCGGCCCTGGCCTGCTAAACAACACTGACAACTACAACAAAAAAATAGACAGGCATTGTGGTGAGCACCTGTACTCCCAGTTACTTGGGAGGCTGTGGCAAGAGAATCGCTTAAGCTTAAGAGTTTGAGGTTCCTGTGAGCTGTGACATCACAGCACTCTGACACAATGAGACTCTGTCTCAAAAAAAAAAAAAAAAAAACACAAGAAAGAAAGAAAAGAAAAGAAAAGTATAGAACTATGCAAAGCAGGCAAATCTAAGAATTATAAATGTCCTTGAGGGAAAAGAAAAAGCAAAAAGCATGGAAAATCCATTCAAAGGAATTATTGAGGAAAATGTCCCTAGAATCACTAGAAATTCAGATACCCAGACACAAGATGGGTCATCAAACACTGAGAAGATTCCCAACAAACAGGACATCTGCAAGATATATAGTTATCAACCTGACCAGAGTCAAAACAAAGGAGATAATTCTAAAAGCAGAAAGATAAAAACAATAACTAAACAAAAACAAGGAAAACATATAAAGCTAACAGTAGTCTTCTCAGCAGAGATCTCACAAGCCAAAAGAGATAGGGGCTCCATTTTTAGTTTTTTCACACAGAACAACTTCCAGCCAAAAATGTACCTTACAAAACTAAGTTTCACAAATGACAGAGAAATACTTTCCCAGACAAGCAAACACTAAGGGAATTTGTCACTACTAGACCTACCCTACAGAAATACTCCAAAGTGCATTAAGCATGGAAGAAGACAATAGATACCAACCAGTATAAAAATCCCCCAAAGTTATAGA